TGTCTTTCAAGACCGGTCTTTTGGCAACAGATCCCCCCACGTATTGTTTGTTTGTAAAAGGCTTTAATTCTCCTTTATTTTTGAATGATAATTTCTCAAGGTACAGAATTCTAGGTTGGTATTTTTCTGTCTCTCAACACTTTATATATTTCCCTCCATTCTCTTTTGATTTGCATAGTTTCTCAAGAGAAGTCACATGTGACTTTTATCTTTGCTCCTCTGTATATTAAGGTGTCTTTTCCTCTGAATTACTTTCGACTTTTATAAAATTAATTATTATGGAGTATGGTTACTTTACAGTATTGTGTTAGCTTCTGCTATTCAGCAAAGTGAAAGAGTTATATACATATGTCCACTCTGTTTTAGACTCCCTTCCCATCCAGGATACAACAGAGAACTGGGTAGAGTTCCCTGTGCTATACAGTAGGTTCTCAACGGTTGTCTATTTCAGTCTATTTAGTCAATTACAGTCTCCCAATTCATCTTAGCCCCTTTTCCCACCTTCATAACTGTAAGTTTCTTTTCTACATCTGTGACTCTATTCATTTCTGCCTCACAAGTAAGTTCATCTGTACCATTTTTCTAGACTCTACATATAAATTAAATTATACAATATGTCTTTTTCTGACTCACTTCACTCTGTATGAAAATCTCTAAGTCCATCCATGTCACTACAAATGGCATTCTTTTGCTCCTTTTATGGCTGAGTAATATACCATTGTGTGTGTGTGTGTGTGTGTATATATATATATATATATATATATATATATAGCACATCTTTTATATCCCTTCCCCTGTTGATGAACACTGAGGCTTCCATGTCCTGGCTATTGTAAACAGTGCTGCAATGAACACTGAGGTGCATGCATCCTGAGGATTTTTTCAACCTTTGATTTTTTTTCAGTTTGAAAGTAATATGCCTAAATGTTGGGGTTTTTTTGCCATTCATCATGTATGGTATTCTCTGAGCTTCTTGGATTATGGCGTGGTGTCTGACATTAATTTGGAGGAAATTCTCAGTCATTATGTTTCAAATATTTCTTGTTACTTTTTCTTCTCCCTCTGGTATTTCAATTATGCACATATTAATATTTTGTAGTTGTCCCACAGTACTCAGTCTGTTCTTTTTTCTCCTTTTTTCAGTCATTTTTTAAAAATATTTGCTTTCCTTTGGAGATATCTATTGAGATATTCTCAAGCTCAGAGAGTCTTTCCCCAGCCACATCCAGTCCACTAATAATCCTACTCATGAGATTCTTCATTTTTGTTCCACTGTTTTTGCTCCACAGCATTCATTCTGGATCTTTCTGAGAATTTTAATCTCTTTGCTTATATTGCCCATCTGTTCCTGCATGGTGTCTACTTTATCCATTAGAGGCCCAAGCATATTAATCAGTTATTTTAAATTCCCAATATGATAATTCCAACATCTATGCCATAACTGCATCTGGTTTTCAACTCTTGTTCTGTCTCTGAAAACTGTGTTTTTCACTTTTTAGTATGTCTTACACATTTTTCCTTGATGCTTAAATATGATGTACTAGGTAAAGGAACTGCTGTAAACAGACCTTTAGTAATATAGTAGTAAGTTGTGGGGGGCAGAAACATTCTATAATCCTATGATTAGATCTCAGTCTTTTGGTGAATCCATGTCTCTAGAATATGAACTTTACAGGTCTTTCTCAATCTGCACGCCACCACTACCAGTTTGGGACTAAATGGTTAGAGTGGGCTGAGTTGATTATTAATATTTCTTCTCTCGCACAGAGAAGGTTAGAGGAGACTGCAGTTGGATATTTCACTTCCCTGAGATCAGGGAGTTTCTGATAAAACCCCAGAAAGATCTGGTCAACAAGTTTCTCCAGAGGGCAGACCTTGTTAAGCAGAACAGAATGCTTTGGCATATTACAAAATTCCTTTTCCTCACCCTTGCCAGAAATATGAGAGTATTTTTTCTCTCAATCACTTAAGAGAATCAAGTCAAGCTCCTAGAGGTAAAATTCACAAAAGTATGAAAGGGGCCCCATGGAGTATGACTGGGGCCCCATAGAGACTGTTGCTTTCAGACTTGTTCATGCTGAACTTCCAGCAATTCACCAGTTACAGTATAGGCTTCCTTATCCAGGCATTGATTCCCAAAGGAACTTCTACTTTGGAGTTTCTGTTCCATTCAAAAAGTTGTGATTCTCTGTATTTGCCCATGAGTCTCTCCATTTTCAGAGGCATGAGTTTGCCCTGTGACCTCACTTTTCTTATAGATCTAAGAAGATCTGTTGATTTTTCAGTTTGCTTAGCTTTTTAACTTGCTGTAAGGATGGAGCGGTGACTTCTAAGTTCCTTATACGCTGAACCAGAAACCAGAGCTGAAAAATCTATACTTTTTGAAACTTACCTTGAGGATGTTTATAATCCTTAATGAAAACTAAAGAATCTTACATGTTTATGTCAATATAATTCCCTGGAAAGAAACCAATTTCTGATGCAAAAACTCACATATCTTACAAGCAATTTTATTTGACCAGTGGAATTAATAGATACCTTGGCAGGAAGTTAGGATATGTAGAATAAGAGAAAGGCACAGATAATTTCCATCACTGTGTTACCCCAAACTCTTGTCATGAGAAATCTTAGGAAAAGACAATGTTATGGCCCATATACAAGAGATGGCTAAGATATTCTGCCTATTTTCAAGTTGGCAATTGGGGATTAACAGTGAAAATAATAGACTGGTTGTATCTTTTAAAACAAATCACTCTTTTGCCATATTATGACACCATTTAGTGATCTCTATTTCACTTATCAATTAGATAAATTGACATAAGAGAATTTTATTACTATTTTATCAATTAGATAAATAATTGATGCTTTTGAACTGTGGTGTCAGAGAAGGCTCTTGAGAGTCCCTTGGAATGCAAGCACATTCTAAAGGAAATCAGTCCTGATATTCATTGGAAGGACTGATGCTGAAGCTGAAACTTCAATACTTTGGCCACCTGATGCAAAGAGCTAACTCATTAGGAAAGGCCCTGATACTGGGAAAGATTGAAGGCGGGAAGAGAAGGGGACTACAGAGGACGAGATGGTTGGATGGCATCACCGACTTAACATACATGAGTTTGAGCAAGCTCCAGGAGATGGTGAAGAACAGGGAAGCCTGGCATGCTGCACTCCATGGGGTTGCAAAATGTTGGACACGATTGAGTGACTGAACAACAAATTTTGCTTATACAAAGCTATATTCTACCCAATACAGATTATTAGAGAAACATTTTCTGGAGAAACTGTTCCTCAAGATTAAGGTCTCACATACTAATATTTTGGTTCCCCCCTAAATTAAAACATTCACTGGCATCCAGTTTCTCACAAAAAAAGATATAATAGTTGGTGCTGAAGCCAACACTGTGAGACTCACTAAGAAACATAAGAGAACAGGCAAGACTCAATCAACATTTAAGGAACTCCTCAACATGAGGGAGACAGATATAAAAGAAAAATATTTCAGCAAAAATTGAGACAATGCACTCAACTGAAGAAAAGCTCAAATAATTTATAATATAATTACAGACCAAAAGTGTTGCTTTTATTTTTAAAAACTCCATAAGTAAAGAAACAATAAGAAAAAAAGTTTGAAAATCCTGTTAGTATACAATCACCAAGATAATTTTCAAGACATAAAATAGTCAATTCAGAAAAAAAAAACGTCCTGGGAAATAAAATGAAAAGATGAGGAAAGGACACTAAGGGAGAATATATAAGATAATTAAAATATACAATATAATCAAAGAGGTACAAAATCTAACCAATAGGAGTCAGAAAAAGAAATATGGAAAAGCGTTTTTCGAGAAAGCAATTTAATGAAACATTATAAAACTCAAGACAATGAACTTCTGGAGTGAAAAAACCCACAAGAACTTAGGACAATGGTAAAGTTTATATCGGGTGATCAGATATCATCTTAACATAGGCGGTAAGATCTCCACTATGCTATAAATAAACTAATAAAAGCTAAATATGGAACAAAAGAAGAGTGAGACACCAAATTATTAATAATGGCATATCATAAATAGTCACATTCCAGATGACGTTTTCTGTGTTTCTACATTTTCCAATTTTCCTTAATGATGATACATTAATTTTTAATTATAAAATAAGTGAATTATATTTTCTTTTTCATTAAAGTAATTTGCCTAATCTAAAAAGATATCTTAAAACAAGGGATAAATTTTTAATTTCATGGAACTTCTCTGCCAGTTGTGGAATTACTATCTGTATTTTAAATGGGAGTGAAATAAATCCCTATAGTGTATATGCTGCTTTAATGAGGTTTCTCTAACTTCGTGCCAAGTACAATTATTAACTGATCACTATTTTATTATTAAAGACAACTAATGTCAGAACAATAAAAACAAAATACAGTATAATATAAACTAGTCTTAAATTTCCAAGAAAAATACTGAAGCACAAAATACAATGCAAGCCAAAGCCAATCAAAAGTATAGTCTGCAGAGGGCATCAGTTTTACACCTGAATATCTGAAGAAAATGAATAAATAAATATTCAATAAATAATTCAAAATTTTAAAATAATTATCCTTCTTTACTTGTACTTAGTTCTTTAGTAACTCATCCCATTGGGGGAAAACATTCCCTTAAATAAAATTTTCATCATTTTATTTTATAACCAATGTGTTTTCTTTTAACAATTTCTATTTTGAAATAATCATTTAAATTGCCCACACAAGAAACAAAGTACTAACCTGACCTCTGTTTTTAATTACATCCTATTTTTTAAGCAAAGGTAGATCATGTGACAGTATATCCATGCTATTTATCAAAATTCAGTCTCACAGACTCACAAACATACACAAGAACCATATAATAAATTTACTTTCTAGCATTTCTATTTTTTAAAATGAATATCATGCTATAACTTTTTAAACTTTTAGCTATGTAAGAATAAATGTTGATACACACATCAGTTGAATGTTTCATATTACATACCAATAGCTTCAATATAACATAGTTGAATATCTGGTGGTCTATTTGGAATCACATTAGAGTCTGACAAACAACACTGAGAATCAAGTTCTGAAGTTGCAAAGAAATTAACTCGAACTTGCATGGTAAAGTTGTACGTTGCCACCTGTTAGACAAAAAATACATTATAACTGACTATTTTTGGTATAAAAATTGCGATATTTTAGAATTTAAAAACAGGGTACATTATTATGTTGTTTCAGGTGTACTACATAGAGATTTGATATTTGCATATATTATGAGATGATCACCATAAGTCTAGTAATTAACTGTCCACATACAAAATTATTACAATGTCATTGACCATTTTCCTTACGTAGAATATTACATTCCTGTGGTTTATTTATAATTGGAGGTGTGTATCTCTTTATTCCCTTCACCTATTTCATTTTATACTATTTTTATTGTACATATTTAAAGTTTACAACTTGATAATTTGATATACATAATGAAATAACAATCAGGCTATTAATATATCCATCACCTCATGTAGTTACTGTGTGTGTATGTATGAGAGAGAAAGAATACTTAGGATCCACCCTCTAAGCAAATTTCAAGTATAAAGTACAATACTGTTACCAGAACTAACATATTATCCAGCAATATCACTTTTGAGTATTTACCCAAAGGAACTGGAATCAGGATCTCAGAGAATTACCTGCACTCCTATGTTCACTGAAACATTATTCACAATAGTCATGATGTGGAAATAGCCCACATATTCATGAAAGGATGAATGGATAAAAAGATAAAGGTGATATACACATACAGTGGAGTATTTCTCAGCTTTAAAAGCAGCAGGAAATCCTGCCATTTGCAACAACATGGATGGGGCTGAAGGACATTATACTAAACGAAACAAACCATACATAGAAACACAAATAGTGTATGATCTAACTTACACGTAGAATCTAAAACAGTCAAACTCAAAAGCAGAGAGTAAATGGTGGTTGCCAAGGGTTGGGGGAAGGAAGACATGGGGAGATGTTGGTCAAAGGGTACAAAGTTTCAGTTATGCCGGATGAATAAGTTCAGGAGATCTAATGAGATATTATGGATTTAGCAAAATAGCAGTTTTTTAAAAAAGACAGTTTCAAAAAAAATTGTGACACTGAAAGTACCTTTTTTTTTTCAACATAAGACTTGGCTTATTTTTCATGAGTCCAAATAGAATTCTTAAATAAAAAAAAATGACATTAGAAATAATTCCTATCAATTCAAAATGGAACAAAGGCCTAAATATAAAGCCTAAAACTATAAACTTTGCAGAAGAAAATGTAGGAGAAAAATATTTCTTAAGTGCAATATCAAAATAATCATCCAGAAAAATAATTAAAGTGTACTTTATCAAATTTTAAATATTTGTTCTCTTAATGATAAAGTTAAAAAATAAAATTACTAGTCAAAATCATTATTTCTGAAAAAATTCAACTTGCATCCTAGATATATAAATAACACACAAAGATTAAGAGAAAAAAACAAGTACCCAATGATAAACTATGTAAAAGATTTGAAAAGGGTTCAGAAAAGAAAATGTACATACAACATGTTACCATATAAAAAGATGCTTAACATCATCAGACATGAGAAAAATGCAATTTAAAATCACAGAAGATTAACACTTCACACCTATCAAAATGCTTAAATAAAAATGATACTACCAAGTGCTGATAAAGATGCAAGCACCTAATACATTTATGAATTGCTGATAGGAATGTAAAATTTTCTCGTCATTTGGGGAAAGTTTTCCAGATTCTTAGAAAATTAAATATATACTTAACATAAGGCTCAGAGATGCCCAACCCTAGATACTTACCAAAGAAAAACAAAAATTTTTTCATAAAAAAGACTGCATGGAAATGTTTTAGTAGCCTTATTCATAATTGTGAAAACCTGAAACCAAGCCAAATCCCTTCCAAATACTGAACAGGTAACAAATGCTGGTAAATACATATATAAAATACATTTCAACAATAAACTGGAATGAACTACTGTTAAATAGAAAAATATGGATGGATTTCAAATGTATTATTCTAAGTGAGAGAAGCCAGAATGATAAGGCAACATACTTTATAATTTCATTCATACAAGTGAGAAGACAAAATTACACAAACAAAATGAGATCAGTGTTTGCCCTAAACTGAAAGTGGAGGAGAGGGTGACTACAAATAAACACAAGAAAAATTTAGGAAATTTTGGAAAGGTGATTTTCCATGAAATATCCAGAAGAGATAAATCCATAGAGACTGAATGCAGATTGGTGGCTGTGAGTGGCTGGTGGGAAGAAAGATGGGGAGAAACCACTTAATGGGTAAAAAGTTTTACTTTGGAGTGATGGAAATGCTTTGAAATTAGATAGAGGGCATGGTTATACCATATTGTGAAGGCACTGCGTTAATTCCAAATGGTTAATTTTATGTTATAGAAATTGCCACTCAACAAATTATGATTTTTAAAAATATGTGAAGGACAAATAAATCAGTGGTTTCCAGGAATTACCCAGATAGTCATCACATGATGATCTCCTAGAGAAGTAAAACAATAAGTTTTTAATATAAGAACTAAATATTAATAATAAAAAGGGCTTAGAGCTTGCCATGCATATTACCCAATTAGGCAAACTCTTGGGCTTTCATTTTGTTTTTATTTAACACTACCTGGCTGCTATGTTGAAATCCTAAGCCCCAAAAATGATAAAATGAGGAGGTGGGGCTTTGGGATGTGCTTAAGCCATGAGGCCTCAAGACTGGGGATTAGAGTCGTGTAACTATAATTAGTGCCTTATATAAGACACTCCAGAGAGATTCCTAGCCTCTTCCATCCCATGAGGGCATATCAAGAAATTTGCAACTCAGAAGGGAGCCCTCACCCTAATAGGCTGGTGCCATAAACTTAAGATATGCAGCCTCCCGAACGGTAAGAAATAAATTTTTGTCACTTATAAATCACCCAGTCTGTGGTACAGTGTTACAGCAGTCTGAACGGACTAAGACACTGACCATCTCATTACCAATACCATCTCACATCACATCATCTTTTGTAAATAATCTGTTCTTATAAAAGAATTATAAAAGCATAAAAATACTGTAAAATGTATTATTTTCATGGATGTTTCATTTATTTTGAGCATGCAACTCATTCCCATGATAACCTATTTCTGTAGTGATACCAGCACACAGATGTCAAGGGTTAAAGTGAATAAAGATAGAGTTCATGTACAAATACTACCCTTCCATATTTCAGTTCTTAAAACTTCGTTTGATCTTATTTCTCCTGGAATTTCTCATTATTAATTATCAACAACCAGTTATATTTTGTCTCATTTCTATTTTATCGCTTCTGGTTGTTTATTTTTTTTCCTTCATTTTTCGCTTATCGTATTAACAGAAATCAATACTTTTGCTTACACATATTTTAATAGTATTTATATTACTTTTAGATACTATCACGGAGAAGGAAATGGTAACTCACTCCACTAGTGTTGCCTGGAGAATTCCATGGACAGAGGAGTCTGGTGGGCTACAGTCCATGGGGTAGCTTGAGTCAGATACAACTGAGCAACTAACACTAGGTACTATCTTATTCTTTCTTTTTTATTAACATAATATGAACTCACTTTAAAGTCAAGTAATATCTAAAAGTATGTTTCCTAAGCCATCATCCTCATCTGATTGTGACTGACAGACACGGGTTCCCAATAGAAGGGCTGAGGGGAATAAAGGAAATCAATGGAAAAATGAAGACAAGGAACTGAGAGGCCAGGGTCCTGGACGGACCTCCATATGGACACTGAAATCACTCAGAAAATGAGAAGAGTAGGGAGCAGAATGTACAATGCACCGAGCTGGCAGCAATGTCCAGAGAGTGGTAAAGTCACATAATGCAAAGTTCAGAGAGGCAGGCATGTGTAACAAAGACCATCTAGAAAAATCAAACCAGGGAGCAAGGCTTCCAGAAAGTATCACCTCTCGAGCCACACCCTGATCCACAGGAAAGGCTATATAAGAAGTAAAGCCCTAGAGATAGCCGTGGTCATAGCATGAAGAAATAGTGAAGGGAAAGGAACCCCCAAAACATCAAGGACTTATGTAAATGTAGATATCCTAGAGGGCAGGAGGGAAGAGAAAAAACCAGGTGGGAGGGAGCGCAGACCTAGCAGGAATGACAGTGTATACACAGAGGGCTCCACTTTGGGGGATGATCAAGGTAAAGAGTGATCATGATGGATTAAGTCCCAACAGTCGCTGGATATTGAGTCTTAACTGTCATTGGATCTGTGTTGTGTGCCAAAATCAGGGATGGTAGGAGTGGAAGACTGCATTGATGGGAGAGGTTTAACACAGAACATGACAGTAGGCTTCATTCAAGATGTTTGATACTATCACTGACGATGATGATGCTAGTGATTATCAAGGTAATTCAATGTACTGATCTTAGCCCTTAACTTTCTCTTTTATTTTAAGCATGAGGCCTTTCTACCTTTCTGTAACATGTTTTCTAAAATACTGTGTGATGAATTTACAGAGCTAAGAACCAATCCCCACCTTCTCTAATTGTCAACTGTGTGTAGGTGGGAAGTCATACTGGTCTTGCCCTCTTTTAACTCAAATCTTTACAAAGAATTTAACCCCAAAATGTGTTTTTACTCAAGTAGCCCTGTAATTACAAAATTGAGAGGTCCATGATTTTTTCACTCATGTCAATTTTATCACCTCAATAGAACTATGAGTCTAAAACACTTTTTACACTAAAACTCAGTGATACATCAAGAGAACCAAGAAGATGAGTCCTATCTTTGTGACCCCACGGAGGTAACTAACGAAGAGGGAAAACTGAGAGTTTTGTGATGTGTGCCATTCTATATACTTTCCTAGAAGCTGTCATTCAAATAGACAAATACCTCCAAGAGAAGAATGATATTCTGATATAGAAAAGATTTCAGTCCCTGTTCAGTACTGGTAGAAAAAATGTTTATGAATAGAAAAGGGGCAAGTGTTATTTGAAAGTCTTCTCTTTTAATACTTGAAGGATTTTTCTTGCCTTCCTGTAAAAATGGCTGTAAATCCAGAATAACTACTATGAAATGTTTACCCAAAGGGTGCATAT